TCGCTCTTGCATCTGGCATAAATGACCGTCAGCTCAGCCAGGAGGCACCTGCGCCATGCCAACCTGTGAAGGCACCTCCAGGACAGTGATGGAGGGAGTGTTGTTGCCTGCAAATGCCGGACGGGCACCGTTCCTTGGCCATCGTGGGGTCTGCAGGCTTGTGTGGTACCCACTCAGGAGGTCTTTGGAAGCTAGGCCATATCTTCAGGATAATGCATTGCAAAGGGAAAGGGAAAGGGACCCCTGACCATTAGGTCCAGTCGTGGCCGACTCTGGGGTTGCGGCACTCATCTCGCTTTATTGGCCGAGGGAGCCGGCGTACAGCTTCTGGGTCATGTGGTCAGCATGACTAAGCCGCTTCTGGCGAACCAGAGCAGCACACGGAAACACTGTTTACCTTCCCGCCGGAGCCTATTTATCTACTTGCACTTTTTGGGGTGCTTTCGAACTGCTAGGTTGGCAGGAGCAGGGACCGAGGAACGGGAGCTCACCCCATCGCAGGGATTCAAACTGCTGACATTCTGATTGGCAAGTCCTAGGCTCTGTGGTTTAACTCACAGTGCCACCCACGTCCTGCAATGCATTGCAGAGGCATGTCCCAATTAACTCGGGACAGTTGAGGGGTATGCCAACATCTGAAAGGCCAAAGTCTACCTGCCCTGTCAGAACTGAAGGGTTTTCCAGAGCTTGATGCTAGATTGATTTTGCATATTTTCCAGTCAGCACCTCTTACCCCCAGGGAAAGAATCACAGTTCCTCTCTCTCTCTCTCTCTCTCTCTCTCTCTCTCTCTCTCTCTCTGTGTGTGTGTGATTCCAAAGCACTCCTGTGCTGCTTTATATTGTAAATGTCCAATGCAGTTTACAAACAGAAGAAGAAATACAACCAATAATGCAATTAGAACTGTGCAATAATGACACAATGTATGTTCAAATAATGTCCCTGCTGATGTGAAGGACCTGTATCGGTGGTTATCACAGATGAGTTTGAGAAAGAAGTGTTCAGATGCAGAGGAGTGGGGGGGGGGAATGACACCCACTTGTCCCCCAGCACAAACGCTGGATAAAGACATCTCCATTAATTGGAGGTGAGCTGGATGGTGTCTCTTCGCATCAGTATTTATATTTCAAACTTGGATTTCCCAGATGCAGATGAGGGACACAGGTGAAGATTTTCCTCCTCTTCCTATGTTGTGGTTATTAAAAATGGGGAATTTAATTAAGAGAATTAGGAAAGGGGCAGGGGGACCTGCATGTCATTAAAGCTGCAGTGGAAAAGCAATGCCAGTGCGGCCACAGTTCTCCTTCTGAAAATGGCTTTTTATTGCACATAAAGGTGAAATTAATAAGACGTGGAGCTCAGAGTGGTTTCCAAGATCTCCTCTGGTGGTGGTTTCTGGAGAGGCTGTTCTGCTTCTGGCTTGGAATCCCTGTCCAACTCAGCAGTTGGTTCTTTATTGGGACAGTGTTTAGGGATGAGTGTTCCCTTCTTCTTTTCTGGGGATTTCCTGCTGTGCTTGGGTGGTGAGTGTAGCTGAAACCTACCAAGGGCAGCAGTAGTGGGAGAGTGGTGATGGCAGCCAAAGGCTTATTCATGACCTCAAGGAAAGCCAACAATAATCTCACAACGACTCCATCATGCCTAGTAGCTATCAATAACCTTACCCTCCATGAATTTGTCCAGCCCTCTTTTAAAGCCATCCGAGTTGCTGGCCATCACTGACTCCTGTGGAAGTGAGTTCCACAGTTTAACTATGGGCTGCATAAAGAAGTCCTTCCTTTTACGTGTTCAGCGTTCAGGTTCAACATTCTGCTTCATGGGCTGTCCACAAGCCAAATAATATCGTCTCCTGTTCATCACTTAGCAGCTTGTGGTTATTATTTCTCTTTGGTGCATCCAGACCAATCAACAAATGTAAGGAATGCAGAAATAATAAAAAGCAACAGAGCTCCACTGTCTAAAGTGCATCTCACCCACAGTGACAAAGTGTAAATTATCACACTAAACAGGGTCCGCTGGGGAAGGAAGCGGTGGCAGCAGCGGGGTGGGTGTGTGCACCGTAAGCGAGGTTTTTCAACATAAATTATCTAATTGCTTTATACTGAGTTGCTATTAGCCAATTAAATGGAGCTGTCTGGTGGCAATATGTGGAGAGAGCCGCAAAGGGGGGGAGGGGCTTCTCTTTGAATTTACGTTGTACCATCTGCATAAGGGGCCCTGGACCCAGAAGCTCCCAGTTGCATTCAATCAGAGCAAGCACCCAGAATGAGATGGGCAGGTGCCATCTATCAGCCTTGAAACGTGGTAGAGCTTTTTTGGGGGGTGATGTGGAGTTGCTTAGTTGGCACTTTCAGGGCTCTTGTTTCAGTAAAGTGCGTGGCAGGGGGTGACAACTGGCGGAGAAGATACGGGTGCAGCCGGCCCCCTCCATCCGTCAACGGCCCTCACCCGCCTCCTCGACAGCCGCGGCAAGCGGGCTCAGTGGCCTTGAATCATCAGCCAGCCTTGCTTTAATGCTGATGCCCTGAATAGCGAGCGAGCGAGCGGGTCCTCTTCAGCTGATGCTTGGAAACAATAACAACAACACAATCTGCGCTGTGCATATCGGGGGCTCGGACGGATCCATCTGCCGGCTGCATTTTGATTGCCTGGAATGAGGGCAAAAAATGGCAGATGACTAACCTCAAGCTGCTCCGAAAACGGGCCGAGAGAACACCTGCAACGACAGCCTCCTGAACTCCTCATTTTTAATGACTAATGGAAACGGCGGAGATGGCAAGAGGCGAATTACGTCGTGCTGTGTTCAGTCATATATACCTGCACAATCCTTTCAGCTGTCAGAACCCATCAGCGCTTGGAGTCGAGATGAAAGGATGCAATTTATTACAACCTGTTGCATGACCACCCTCGGCCTCGCCGGGGGATTCTTGTCTGCACACCGAAATACCACCCAGTGTGGCTGGAGGGAGTCGCGAGAGGGGTGGGGGTAGCCTTATTCTCAGCCCAGTGATGCTGCTGCTGCTGCTCTCCCCCCTCAATGTTCATTGCCAAATGATTGATCTGTGCACTTGCATTCAATTCTCAGTGTACTTGGATATCAGACACCCAAGATTCCAGCCCATAGCTCCTCTCTGCCCACTCTCCTCTTGGTTACTAGGGGTTGGGTGCTTCCTTAATCCTCCTCCATAGGCACTTGTCCCCTGGAGTTTGCAGTTCTGAATGGCCTGGGCTTGTTTCTGAAGCGGAAGTGATGCATTAGGAATCCTCTGTTGTTTCATTCTGTGCTGTGCATGCTTAGTTGGCCACAAGCTTTGGTTCGCTCATTCATGTCTTCCTCCCTCTCCTACAGCTGGGTGTGTGGAGGTGCCTGCAGACATTGCTAAAATAACAGGGGGAAGGGGAGTGCAAAAGGGGAGGGAAAAAAGCTCAGCACACTCTTTGACAAAAGGATCTTTGTGCAGTGGGTTTTCAGGGGGACAGTCTGGATGACACCTGGGGGTCCCTTCCAAACCTGTGATCCTGTGTATGTGGAGATGGATTCTATGAGAGGAAGCCTGCCGAACCAGTCCTTCTGAAGGGAATGGCCTTGGCAGGACAGCTAAGTACTGCTATTTGCATGAGTAAGAGGTTTCCATAGAGACAAATGGGGATGTTTGTAATCCCCCCTCTACCTAGTTGGAAGCCACATAACCTTGTAAGTTGGAAGGATAATACCCAGAGTTTGGGCTGATGCTGGAAGCTGCAGAGACAGAGGCTTGCCTTGCTCTGTTCTGGACTCAAGAGCTGAGGTTAGGGGCGGTGTTAATGCTGTGAGCCGCTCCATCCTATTTTCAAGTTGTATATATGTGCGAATAAAACCATATATTCCAAAGGCGCCACAGTCCCCATCAACCTTCCTTCCAGGGAAAACAAATCCCTGGGTAAGAGATGGAACCTCTTGGGTTCTCTGGCTGCTCAGAGACTGGGGGTGCACATACCAATATATATAAAGGTAAAGGGGACCCCTGACCATTAGGTCCAGTCGTGGCCGACTCTGGGGTTGCGGTGCTCATCTCGCCTTATTGGCCGAGGGAGCCGGCATACAGCTTCCTGGTCATGTGGCCAGCATGACTAAGCCACTTCTGGCGAACCAGAGCAGTGCACGGAAACACCGTTTACCTTCCCGCCAGAGTGGTACCTATTTATCTACTTGCACTTCGAGGTGCTTTCGAACTGCTAGGTTGGCAGGAGCAGGGACCGAGCAACGGGAGCTCATCCTGTCTCAGGGATTTGAACCGCCAACCTTCTGATCAGCAAGCCCTAGGCTCTGCGGTTTAACCCACAGCGCCACCCATAGAGTCAAATTAAAGTGGCTTCTTTTGGGGAGGGATAATATGTGGAAGTGTGCATCCCGATAACACTGAGAAGGGGAAAGATGCAGATGAAGTAATGGGACTGGAAGTTGGAGGGAAGTGTCCAGTGGTACCTCGGGTTACAGACGCTTCAGGTTACAGACACTTCAGGTTACAGACTCTGCTAACCTAGAAATACTACCTCAGGTTAAGAACTTTGCTTCAGGATGAGAACAGAATTCATGCTCCGGTGGCGCGGCAGCAGCAGGAGGCCCCATTAGCTAAAGTGGTGCTTCAGTTTAAGAACAGTTTCAGGTTAAGAACAGGCCTCCAGAACGAATTAAGTCCTTAACCCGAGGTACCACTGTATTTAATGATAAATTCATATTTAAATATGACTCTTCCTATGCATTTAAGCAAAATTATCCTACTGATTTGGAAATGTATTGGGTAGGACTTACCAGCGAACCCAGGCAAAACTGCACATGAAAGTTAAATATGCAGGGTGAAATATGAGTGCGCTTGCTGATGATGCGTACGGCTTCCGTCCCCAGGGATTAAGTAGGATGGGCTCTCTCACATCCTGCCCTGCATAGTGGGTGGGCTCAAAGCAAAAGGAGGTGCTGCCTCCCTTGTGGGTGGGTATTCTAGATCCCTTCCCTCCTAGAGAGCCAATATGGTGTAGTGGTTAGAATGTCGGACTACTAGGACTTCGGAGGAGCAGGGTTCAAATCCCTGCTTGCCTATGAGATGAGAACAGAATTCATGCGGTGGCGGCAGCGGTAGGCCCCATTAGCTAAAGTGGCACCTCAGTTTAAGAACAGTTTCAGGTTAAGAACGGATCTCCAGAACGATTTAAGTTCTTAACCCGAGGTACCACTGTACACGCTCCAATGCCTTCTTTCAGTAAGTTCAGAAGTCCTCCTGGCTTAACAGGGGAAAGGGCCGTGGGTCAGTTGTAGAGCATCTGCTGTGATTTGCTAAAGGCCCCTGGTCCTTGGCATCTCCGGGAAGGCCTGGGAGAGGCTTCTACTGCAAAACCTGAAGAGTCACTGCCAGTCCATGTGTTTGGTGGGTCAGTGCCTTGACTGGGTGTAAGTCAGCTTCTGGCATTCCTATGAACTCAGCAGGAGCGGGACACAGCACAGACCGCATCTCCAGAACCCCGAAATAACAGAATGAGCAAGCACATTCGTTCTGCACTCTTTTTTCCATAACATAGAAGGCTTATCCCGGCCCCTAGTGCTGCCCATCTCTTCCCCCAGGGAGATGCACATCAAAGGATTGCCTCCTACTTGATGGTTGGCTGCAAGTGGTATTCAGGGGCATACTGCCTGCCTAGGGAGAATTCTCACAGCATAATGTAAACAGAGTTTGACTGTGTTTGTGGATAAAGACCTGGATGTTGTGCTGCAGTCCCAAAGAAAAAGGAAATTTGAAGGGATCTCCCGGAAGGTGGTAGACTCTCCTTGGAAGTTTTTTAATGGAGGTTGGATGGCCATCTGCCAGGGATTCTTCATTTGTGATTCCTGCATTGCAGGGGGTTAGATTAGATGACCCCTGCGATCCCTTCCGACTCTGCAATTCTGAGATTCTCTGAACAAGAGAGGTGGTAGTGGCACCCTTCTGGAATTCAGGGCGAGGTATTCTGTAGCGGTTAGAGACCCAAGGGAGTGGGGAGAGAGGAATCCTGCAATACTGATTTCTGAGGCGGCACTAGGACTTCTTTTTTTGCCCTCTGTTTCTTATTTTCTTTCATTCTTCCTTTCATGCTGCAGTTTCAGTGCAATCTTCACAGAGAGAGAGAGAGAGAGGAAGGAAGGAAGGAAGGGGGGTGTATAGCCACATTGTGCAGGAATTAGATCCGACTCTGGTGACCTTGGTACTGACATCCTGGCTTTTGTTTGCAAAATTGGGCAGAATGCAAGTGACAAATGGGGAGATAGGAGACAAACGCAAACAATGAGCCTCTCCTGGAAGGGACAATGGATGGGGCTTAATTGATTTTCCTTTTCTTCTTTTCCTTTTTTCTGCGAAGACATTGATTTGACCCTGTAAGACACACAGAGAGCCGATCATTAGGGGGCTTAATGCACATCGAAATGTGGTTTATTATCGCAAAAACCCTGACTGCACACGTGGCAGCTTTGTCTTTTAATTATTATTTTAATGACATCTTTGTTATCTCCAGGCCTGCAAAATCTTTCTCTTTCTCCTTCCCCTCCTCCTCCGCTCGCTCAGTCCTCTCTCCCTTGCCCTCCCCACCCCCTCTATAAGCACCATAAGCGATGGGACACTTCTGGAGACTGGGGAAGTTGAGGGTGGCTCAGCTAAATGAAAAGGGCCGCCACTGCAGCTCTAAAGCCGGCGGGAAATTTCATTTCATTTTGCTGTTTCTACCCTGTGCAGTTTGTGAGAAGGAAAACGCCCTCAGAGGTGCACAATGATTATTTTTTTTTAAGCACAAAATCTCCAAATATAACAATTGACAAAGCATGCAAACATCCAATTGCATTTATAGTTGCCAAACACATATAATAACGAGGATGGGTTGGGTTTTGCACAGAAAACCCAGATATCTTAGGGAAGGGCCGTAGCACAGTTGCAGAGTATCTGCTTTGAGTGTAAAAAGTCCCAGGTTCAATCCTAGAAGGCGTTTCCAGGCAGGTCTGCAAAAGACTTCCTGTCTGAAACCTTGGAAGGACACTGTCAGACAGTGTAGACAATACAAAGCTAGATGGCTCTATATAAGGCAGCTTCCTACGGTCCTATAATCTTCACTTTCTACAAGTTTCTAGTCCTTATGGAAATAAATATCTTCATGCATGTTTAGGGGCACACTGCCTGTTTGCTGAAACTTATTTTATATGTTGCATTCATGTCCCACCTTTCCTCCACGAAGCTCAAGGTGGCCTATGTACTTCTCCTACCTATTTTATCTTCACAACAATCCTGTGAGGTAGGTTAGCCCAAGAATGAGTGATTACCCCAAGGTCACCCAGTGAGCTTCATGGATGAGGGGGGATTTGAACCCTGGTCTCCCAGGTTCTAGTCCAGCACTCTAACCACTACACCACACTGACTACCAGAAGGGGGACAGCAGCTGAGTCTTTGCAGTAGACAGCAGCTGTGAAGGTCTGGAATGTGGCAACATGAGAACGGGTCTTTTCTGTGGTGGCTTTTTGCTTGTGGAATGCTCTCCCCAGGATGGCTCACTTGACACCATCATTACATAGCTTTAAGTGCCAGGCAAAGCTATTTCTTTCCCTTAGGCCTAATTGGATTTTAATTATCTGTGGTCTCCATGAGTGGGTGGGATGTTCCAATACCTGCCTTTTTCCTTTTTGAAAAGGGCTGTGTTTCAGATTTTTCTTTGTTTTCTTTGATGCTGATTTATTTTAGGTCACTTTGAGTTACCTGGGCTAAAAAGCAACTTATTGATGATGATGATCATAATAATACAATGTAGTATCAAGCAATTGTGATCCCACACTTTCCAGTGCATTTATGCATTAGAGTCGTACCATGGTTTTCGAACAGTTTAGTTCTCGAACGTTTTGGCTCCTGAACGCCGCAAAGCTGGAAGTGACTGTTCCGGTTTGCAAACTAATTTTGGAAGCCAAACATCTGTCGGGGCTTCTGTGGCTTCTGATTGGCTGCAGGAGCCGCACTTTGGTTTCTGAACGTTTTGGAAGTTGAATGGACTTCCACAACGGATTCCGTTCGACTTCCAAGGTACGGCTGTACTTTCCTTACCCCAAAATGTTGTGTGTGTGTGTGTGTGAGAGAGAGAGGGGGGTGGGGTGGGGTGTGATTTCACAAGACTTCCAAATCTACTTTAATTGTGCAACATGAGTTTGCTGCCTGACACCCCCTGTCTTCAAAACAGTGGAAGCCTGGAAGCCACCATTGAATGCACCATTAAAGCCTCCAGGAATGCAGACAGCCAGAGATTTGGTTTGTCAAGTGAAAGAGAGGACATTCACAACCCTTCTCAAGATGCCAGTGCTAAGACAGCCCCTGTAAAACACACAACACAAAAGGAAAAGGGATATGGATGGAGGAGGGGGGGGGAGGAAAGAAAAGAAAACTTGTGTACTATTTCTTTGATGGACCTTGTTCTGCATTTGAAGGCTGGAGAGCAAACTGCTTCCCACAGGGAGCTCTTGCCATTGGTGTCAATCCTCCTGCAATGTCTGTCACGAGGGCAAATGGAGGGTTGCACCATAGACCTTGCACAGCGGACTTTTCGCATGGGAAACTTTGCTGGCCACTTTTTATTTTCTGCTTAGAACACTTAGTAGGTTCCTTTCAGCTGATGGCATCTTGCACCCAGCATTGGCCATCACAATGGCCTTGTTGACTCATGCAGGAAGTGGGAAGGAGGTGGTCCTATGGGAGAATGGACAGCTACTCAATAAAGACTGCTGCTTTAGTCCCCAAACACAGAAGCATAGAGTTGGAAGGGACCCTGGGGATCATCTAGTCCAACCCCCTGCAATGCAGGAATAGGCAGCTGTCCCATATGCGGATCAAACCTGCAACCTTGGCATTATTAGCACCACGCTCTAGCCAACTGAGCTATCCAGGCTACATGGCTCATGCCAAAAAAGATGACACCTTTTTTTGTTTTTTAAAAAGAAAGATGTTCACTAAGGGTAGGGACCCTTAGTACATTTGGAGAGGAATCTGTTTATAGCCACTGAAATCCCAAGTGGGATTAGGCAGTAAATGTATACAGCGTGTTGAATGTGCTTGATCGAGGGGCCTCTTGTCTCGATTTCCTGGTTTTGAATCATAAAAAGCCGCCCTGATTAAACAAATAAGGTAGAAAAACCATATCAGAGTTAATGACTTCCAAGGCTGACCATCAATTGGCCAAGCGTTAATCAAAAGGCCCCCATAAAGCCAGGCTTCAGAGGGGCTTTCACAGCCATTAATCTCTCTAAGCAGTTCATTTCTCTCCCCCCGCCCCGTTCCCCCTGCCATCCCCCCTCCCTTGGTGTGTGCTTTTTTCTAATGTGGCAAAAAAGAACATAAATTTCTCTCTCATAACATTGATATCCCTTTATGGTAACCTCTCCAAGAGCGGGATCCCTTTATACGAGTTTGATAGAATATATAAATTGCATCAGAAGCAGCTCTGTAGGATTTCTGTGATTGACTACGGCACCAGGAGCGGACGCAGCAGTCCCAGCGCCGTAATAAGGCCATTACGCATTGCTCGGTTTTTATATTCTCCAGCAGAGCTTTGCTTGGCAAGGGAGGACGTGGTGGTGGGGAGGGAGAGGGGATCACACACTTTTTTTGCAAGCCGAGCTGTGCAGGGGACGGTTGCCGGAAGCTGCTCGCGGCCCTATAAGCCGCTTGTGAACTGTAACTCCTCTAACGTCTGTGCAGGGAGTAGGATCGCACCCGGGTAGGCTCTGTTCACACCTTTGTATCAGTGCATGGGATGTGGGTGGCGCTGTGGGTTAAACCACAGAGCCTAGGACTTGCCGATCAGAAGATCAGCGGTTCAGATCCCCGTGAGTGAGCTCCCATTGCTCGGTCCCTGCTCCTGCCCACCTAGCAGTTCGAAAGCACGTCAAAGTGCAAGTAGATAAATAGGTACCGCTCCGGTGGGAAGGTTTCCGTGCACTGCTCTGGTTCGCCAGAAGAGGCTTAGTCCTGCTGGCCACATGACCCGGAAGCTGTACGCCGGCTCCCTCGGCCAATAAAGCGAGATGAGCGCCGCAACCCCAGAGTCAGTCACGACTGGACCTAATGGTCAGGGGTCCCTTTACCTTTACCTTTACCCTTGTATATACTGAAAGCAGTCTCAGTTGGGAGAAGCAACCCCAGAGTCGGTCACGACTGGACCTAACGGTCAGGAGTCCCCTTTACCTTTACCTATCAGTGCATGGGGGCTGCCCCATCACTCTCTGCCTTAAGAGGAGGACCCCAGCTGCTGGATCAGACCAAAGGCCCATCCAGTCCACCAGCCCCAAATAGCCTCGGTCAAGTATATCTGAAGGAGCGTCTCCACCCCCATCGTTCTACCCGGACACTGAGGTCCAGCGCTCAAAGAGGACAACAACTACCAAACTTTTAGAAGACATCTGAAGGCAGCCCTGTTTAGGGAAGCTTTTAATGTTTGATGCATTACTGTATTTTAATATTTGGTTGGAAGCCGCCCAGAGTGGCTGGGGAGGCCCAGCCAGATGGGTGGGGTATAAATAAATTATTATTATTATTATTATTATTATTATTATTATTATTATCTTGCTTCTCCCGATGGGCCAGCAGAGCCTGAGGACAACAGCCCTCTCCTGCTTGTTTGCTCTTGAATTGAACATCTGATACCCAGAGATAGACTGCCCCTGAAAGTGGAGGCTCTGTATAACCCTCCTAGATTACAGTGCTGACCTGACTCTTTCTTCCTTCCTTTAAAGCCTGTGTACATCACTATGTCCTACATACAGGAAATTCCATCAGATGCTCTAATTAGGTGTGTGCAGACTTGTCTTATGGCTTATATGTCAGACCTTGCTGATGAGCCTCTCCAACCGGCTCGGAATCACCACCTCCATCAGCAATTCTTCAAGCAGCGTCTATCACCGCTGTGAAACTTTTTAATTTAACCTTTCACATAAATGTCTAATGAGAAGCCAGGAGTGTTTTTCATTTTCTTTCATAGAGGAGTGGGGAAACAGGCCTGACTTGGGTCATTCCTGCTCTTTACCTCTAGATTAGATTACCCCGATGCACTTTGTGGGGGGCTGCCCTTGAAGACTGCCCTGGTCCAGAAGGTGGCTGCAAAGGCTCTGAGAGGGTTGTCCCTCCAGGCCACAACTCAAGCATTCCCTGTCAGAATGGAGATATCCAGGGAAGTCTTCCCAGTTTCTTCACTGCCTGCTCTCAGGGGCGGCAAAGACCATTTTATTCAAGTGGGAACATTTTAGAGAGCGTATGTTCTCTGCTGCCGTTTTAATTTGCTGTGAATTGGTATTATTCAATGCCAAAATCTATCTGTCTTTTCTGCATCTTGACATTTCTGTAAGCCGCCTTGCAATATTTTGTTAAAAGGTTGGGGTGTAATAAAGCACAATTATGCTGTTTCCACGTTTTATTGAGTACCAAATAATTAAGTCATATTGGAAGAGGAAACTTGCGCTGTCATAGTGTGCTGTTTTTAGTCGTATTATTGTGTAATTTGAACTGCTAGGTCAATAATTTTCTAGAGGACCATCTCCTTTAAGAAAATATGTGCTTAGCCTTAATGAACTTTGGCTCTTTAAATTCCGAGGCCCTCCACACTTCCTTTTCAGGGTGATTTGTTCTCATGATGCCATCAGGGTGCCTATAGGCAATACGGCATTCAATACTGTTTGCGTCTGCAAAAATGTCAGGGCGGACACATGTCTTTTTTCCCAGTCAGTGTGCTCTCTGTTATCCTGTAACTTTTCAAGTTTGAGTTTCTCCAGAATGGGTTTAGATACGACAGACGGTAGACCCATTTTGTTCCTGCGTTGATGGCAATTAAAGAAAATAATCTGCGTTCATTTAGGCTAACTTTGCTGAATCTACATCTTAACAAATTTAAAGTGGACTGTTGGAAAATCTCTCCAGGCCCCAGTAAGCTTTTAACTAGAGGGATTCCTCCCTCCCACCTAATACACAATATTTTCTTAAACCATATGGTGAGTTCCACCTGGAATATGTTTCCCAAAAATTACAGAGGAAAAGCATAAGTAAGATTTTAATGTAAATTGATGTCATTTCCCCAAGAACCCTGAAGTAAACAAGTGTGAAATAATGTCCACTCTGGAGCAGATAAACCTGCTTATTACTATTTTGAAATTCTTTCTTGAGGTGATTTCTTGATTAGGTCAACCAAAATGTCACAAAACAGCGTGAGAACTTTAGAGCCACCTGGAACTCTTCATCAGGCTAGGTGGTCAATAAAGCGGGAGGCCTGGGAGCAGCAATGGAGCAAGCCAATTGGGTGCCTGGGGCGGCGTGCGTGCCCTGGGCCCAGGGGTGGGGCGAGCTGGGACAGGACACTCCATGGGGCCTCTGAGGAGTCTGCCTGCCTCCTCCCACTCAGCTGCCCTACAGCTGAGAAAGAGGCAGCGGGAGGACCATTTGGGGGCAGCGTGGAGCCTGTGGGCACCCAAGCCACTGCATCACTCCCAGGAGAGACACGTGGCTCGGACGCGCTGCAGGCCCCGTGGCGAGGGCTGCCTGGCATTTTGTCACCCCCCTCTGTGGTGACACCCAGGGTGGACCATCCCCCACTGCACCCCCTTCCTCCGCCCCTGCCTGGGAGTGGCAGAACAAACCATGGGCTCCTGGTCAAGCCCTACATCTGCCCCTTATGAACATTTTCTGGGAGAATGTAAAAGGAAGGGATGGGGCTCAGTCTCAGGAGCCTTGCAGGGTCCAGCTTTCTCCAAGGAAAGGAGAAATAACAACGACCTGATTCCCCCATCTCTGGAAATACAAATTCTAATGAGCCAACACAGTTACCTTTTTATTTTTAAGGCAACCACACGGTTGAAATGTGTTTAGCAATTTATTTTTATTTTTAGCTCACCTTTTCTCCCCAAGGAGCTCCCGGTGGTGTACATGGTTCTCCCTCCCTCTCCTCATTTAATCCCCACAACGACCTTGCGAGGTAGATTAGGCTGAGAGTGAGTGACAGGCCCAAGGTTGCTGCAGTGAGCTTCATGACTGAGTGGCGATTTGAACCCTGGTCTCTCCCAGGTCCTAGTCCGACGCTCCAACCACCACACCACACTGGCTCTGGGGTATTGTTTATCTACCTCATGGTGCTTTTGAACATACTCTTGTCCTCTAGGCAATGTTTTATGGTGTCAAACATCAATGTCAGGTGTCAAACGTAAGTTAATTATTATTATTGGGGTTGGGGGAAATGGGAGGGTCTTTTTTTAACGGTCCTAACTTTCCCATTATGTCTCAGTGTCAAGACGTCAGGAACTATTTCTGTCATTTGTGACTATTCTTGCTAGTCAGAAAGCAAGGCCCCCCTTTCCCATTCACCATCCACTTACCTCCCAGGAGAGCTTGGTGAAGAATGGGTGGAATGATATCTTTAACCGTTGTTTTAATCGATGGCGCTAAATCATTCCTGCCATGTTGGAAGAGGGAAATGGCTTTGCCACCGTCTGGTATTTTTAAGTTGTATTGTTATTGATTGCATAACTGTGGAGCTGCTAGGTCAGTGAACCTTTAAGAGGATTATCTCTTTTAAGAAAAAGTGACGTCGTGATGCCTTTAGGCTTTATGGAACTTGGGAGGCGCCGAAATAAATGTGCTGATGAATTGGCGGGATGACTTGGAAAAGCAAACTGAAACTGGGGGGGGGGGGGTTTGAACCATTTCACGAAACCCTCCTTGAATTTCCTGGGTTACTTCTGCAAATGTTTAGGTCTGAATTTTGGAGTTTCCTGCCAGAGCCCAAGTCCAGGATTACTGTATTTTTTGCTCTATAAGACTCACTTTTTCCCTCCTAAAAGGTAAGGGGAAATGTGTGTGCATCTTATGGAGCGAATGCAGGCTACACAGCTATCCCAGAAGCCAGAACAGCAAGAGGG